GAAAAAAAAAAAAAAAAGCACACACACACACACAAACAAAAACTAGACATTTAAATATGATAATGATTGTTTATTCAAAACTTCATAGTCCTTTCTTGTTGTTTTATGAAAACGATGCATGTAAGAATTGACATGAGACATGGAAAAACCTAGGTAAGCTATGAAAAAAGAAAAGTAAGGCAATTTTTTAAATGCTTTCACTAAAAGACCTCAAGTGTTAAGAACATAAATTAATATACTTCCTAATATCTTCTGAGAAGCAGCTCTGGTGGCACAGTGGTTAAATGCCCACCGACTGCTCCTTGGGAGAAAGATGTGGCAGTCTGCTCTCCATAGAGATTATAGCCTTGGAAAATCCATGTGGCAGGTCTACTCTGGCCTATAGAGTCGATGTGAGTGGGAATTAACTCAACAGCATTTTACTGCTGAGCAAAAGTAAAATGGACTACTCTTAAAAGTGAATAACCTATATTTTGTTATACATAAAATCATTAGTGAATACATTTCTGAATAAGAAATATACTCTTGTTCATAATATAATAAGATTTCAAACTGACAGGTATATTAAAATCCATAAATCCAGTCTAATGTGTGGATCCTTGGTCTTGTACTTACATTCATAAAATACTTAGAGATAAAGGCAAGTCCTAGTTTGATTTTTATTTTGGACAACAACCTTGAGAAATTTTTATTTCACCTTCCTTTGCCATAAAATATCCATACTACATACTTTTTGTTCTGGTATGTTCTGAATATGGCTTCTCCTTAGCAATAAAACACTAGCTAGCATCCATGGAAATTATACTAGACTAGGTGTGGCGCTATGGGTTAATGCACCAGACTGCAAAGCCATTTGAACTGCACAATTGGCAATTAAAGCTCACCAGCTGCTCCTTGGAAACCCTATACAGGGTCACTCGGAACTGACTTGACAGCACTTCACAACAACAACAACAACATAAGAAAAAGCTTGTGAGGAATTACTATAGAAATTAAATAAACTGAAACACTAAAATCCCCAAATAAAACCTGTATCTAAGATATGCCAGAAAATACTGAAGAATTATCTCATTATTTTACTGGTTAAAATAATACTACAAGAATAGATTATAGAGAACAAACAAGATGGTGGCTCGAGTAGCAGTGCAGTGAGGAGCTCCGTTAGCACCAACACAGAATACTGGATGAAACAGGCTTAAAGGATAGTGCCAGAACTCTAAACCACATATAAAGGAATATTTAGAAGGTTGGAAGGCTTACAGCTAGGGGAATTTGTAGAAAAAGCAAGAAATCCATTGCTTTCTAATTCAAGATGATCCGCTGCTTCAGGACCCTCTCTCTTGGGAAAGACCAAGCAGGGGAAGGATCAGAGCAGCCACAGAAGCCTGACAGAACCATGGAGATAAAGGTATGCACATTCTTTTTTTTTTTGTATCAGTTCATTGGTCTCTTGCTGTCTGCGCACCTCCATTCTGGTGACTAGAGGGGGTGCCTGAGTGAGTAAACACCCCACCCCCACCCCCAAGAGGGTTCTACTACACATGCACACAGATCTCGAAATTTAAAATGACAGTTTTCACTTAAAATCAAATGGCAGTGGAAACCGGCCACAGCCAGCCCTGAACTGTTTATCGCTAGGAAAAAGGTCTGAATGGGGACTGTGGAGCAGGACAGGCAGACTTAAAGGAAATAGGCCAAAAATTAAATCCTGAACTATGTCACAATGACCAACAGTGGCATCTTGAAATTTCTCAGGAAGTAGATTGAAAAGAGAAGCCCATATTCTGACCACATCTACCTGGAGTCAATCAGAAAGCATAAAAAACACCAAACTACACATCCATCTATGTATTAAGGCCACAAATAACTCCTGAATATGCCCAAAAAACAGAAACAGATGACCATATCAGCACATGTCCAGAAATAAGATAAAGTGACTGAGGCAAATGAGATGGAACTAGACTTATACTCCATATTGGAAGACAGGGAGGCTTTGAAAATGCCTGAGAAGGAATTCAGAAAAATGATTATAAAATGTATGAAAATACTATACAATGAAGTTGAGAAAAATAAGGAAGAAGTCAGGAAAGTAATACAGGAACAATCAAATAAAATAGATACAGCATTGGAAACAATTCAAAACCTACAGAAAGAGGTCCAAATGATTAATAAAAGAATATCAGAAATGGACAATGCACTGAAAGGGCAAAGGAATAGAACTGAAGAGATAGAAGCCAGAACTAGTAAGCTAGATGAGCAAACACTAAAAATGATTTTTAAAAAAATCTGAAAAAGGCCTAAGGTTCATATTGAACAACATGAAGAGGAATAACTTAAGAATTATTGGCATTCCAGAACAGGAAGAAGCGCACAAGTCCACAGAGGAGATAGTTAAAGAGATTCTGGATGAAAATTTCCCTAACATTTGAAAAGCGAAAAGATAAGTATTCAAGAAGCTCAATGAACCCCAGGAAGTATAGCCCCTAAAAGACAATCACCAAGACATATAATAATCAAGCTCTCTAAAATCAAAGATAAGGACAGAATCCTGAAAGCAGCTAGGGAAAAGAGAAGTATAACATACAAAGACAAGCAAATCAGATTAAGCTTGGATCTCTCAAGAGAAACCATGCAGGCCAGAAGGCAATGGAGAGACATATATAAATCCCTGAAAGAAAGAAAACTGCCAATCTAGAATCCTCTACCCAGAAAAGCTGTCAATCAAATAGAATGGTGTAATCAAATCATTCCAGGATAAACAGAAGCAAAGGGATTTTGCCAAAGCCAATCCTGCTAAGAAAAACATCCTAAAGGAAGTTCTGTGGACTGAGACTCAACAAGAACAGACAACAACCAGAGAACGACATATGTGGCAACATCACCCTGAACTCAACTGACTAATGGAAGAGTCAAGAACAGAATAAAATGATAAGAACAGAAGAACTTGGAGGTCAGTCTATGATCAAAATAATTACAATGTGAAAGAAGGTAAACACAGAGGAACAGAAATCCTGGTGGTGAGAAGGTCAGGTAGACTACAGGATAAAATAGACCGTCTTAGATAGAGGGAAGAGTTAATAAAATATAAGGTAACCACAACAGTGGGGTTGGGGTGGGGAGTTTAGTTTGGGTGTTGGGGAGGGCAATACAAGAAGGGGAGAAGGTGGAAGTAAAAGATAGATAAGTGAACACTGACACAGGTTTGCATGGCCTAAGTGGGACAGAGGTACATAGTGATGCATACTGAACCTTGGAATAACAGGGCTCTTTGATACAGGGATCTAGGTATAGTTTGAAGAGGGAAAATAATACTAAAATGCTTGATTGTCTTATGAATATTGGTTTACCTTGCCTAATATTGTAAAAGAGACACTTGAGTGGGATAGAAAGGAATGTCAGGAAACATGATTATGGAAAAGTTGTAAGCCTGTCTTCAGCCTATAACTGACTGGAATACCTAAAAGGGGTTCTAGAACTTGCCCAGTGAAATAAGCCTTTTACAAAACCTTTGTAGAGTATAGGACCTTAGGTGGAATCCTGAGTCCCATCCAGAACCTTATGAGGTGGGAAATTCCCACTAGCAAGGACAAGCAGAGCATCCTGGAACAGCTAGAGCAACAGAAGACACATCTTCAAAGGAAGATCATTAGGAAAAACCCAAAACAAAAAGGTCAGCACGACTGGCTACGACAAGAATAAGAAAGCTGTTTGTCAGGAAGCCATCAAGGCAAGCAATCAAGTTCCTTCAGGACAAACTCCCCTCTAAGACTGAAACTCAAAGGGAACATATGAACAGCCATGTAAACTTGCTGGCAACCACATTGGTCTACTGGTGAGTGGAAGAGGGGGAAAGGCAGCAATGAAGAAATGGGCTGAGTTCAACCACAGACCATTGACTCCCATTGGCCTGGAGATGAGAGAGAGAAGAGGAAGGGCACAAGGACACAAGGGTAAACTACTACAAGTTTTTACTAGTAGTAGTAATATATATATATATAAAGGACACAAGGGTAAACTACTACAATTTGATGAACCTACCTATACTCATGGCAGTAGTAACTCTAAATACCAACAGAGAGGGAAGGAATCTTCATATCAAGTATCAATGCTATCTCCTCTGTACACAGGGTAGATAGGGACAACTTAGACACTGGCTACCTAAAATGAGGGGTGATAAAGGCACGAAGTGACTGGCTTGCAAGGTTTCAAGAGGGAGTTTAATTTAAGAATATGAGGGGGAAGATAGAGTCCCCACTGAATAGTTTTCATCTTGTCTAGATGGGTCTGGTGAAAAAAGATGGGGGTAAGATTCGTATGATTCAATAGTGAATAATTGTTATCATGACTAATTGCGACTGTCACAATTGTAAAGGTAGAAGTTTTATAACAAAACAGAGGAGTAGTTAATCTTACAGTCCAGAAACAGAGGACCCTAGGACCATCAAGGGAGAAGAGCACAAGCAGAATGTGGGACCTTATCCAGAAGCAGTGATGCCAGAGATGGAGGCAGAGATGGAGCCATGGAGAAGGGAAGCAGCTGAGGACTCTAGATTCATGGGAAGTGAGGGAGTAAGAACTGGTGGCCAGGAGGCAGACTTGCAGAAGGTGGCCTTTGGAGGTGTAAATCATTATATATGCCTGAGTGTTTTTTGTTTGTTTGTTTGTTTTAAAAAAAGCTAAAGTGAATAGAGATAAATACTGTTAACTGATGGTACATGGAGAGGATCACAATCATTGTAATGAAACAAGGTGTATGATTTGTGAAATGTAAAACTGATGATCTGCCCTATAAACTTTCACTCAATCCATAATAAAAACCTTAAAAAAAAAAAAAGAATAGACTACATACAAAGATTTGAAACCACCATACTCTTCATTATTATATTGAGATTACTTTGGATAAGTCATACACTCTGCTGGTTAAGGTCATAACTCATAAATATTTGGCAAAGAAATTTGTGGCAAAGCTCTAAATATACCTAACCAAAAGAAAAAAAAATGGAATTGTCAAAAATTTAAGAATATTGTAGGTGATTTTTCTTTTCTATGAAAAGCCTTAAAGGTAGTGTTTTCAAATATAAAATCATGACCCATAAAAGTTATCCAAATCATGCAAGTGAGTCCTCTTCCTAGGACAAGGAAATATCCTGAAGACAATGGCTAGTCTTTGACCATTTGAGAATTAAGTTGTGCCTGCTACCTCTCCTCACCAATTTGAATGTCTTTGGAATCTCCCCAGAAGAAAAACTAGACTATGAATGAGTTCTGTACAGCTAATAGATTCATTCCTGCTGAAAATACTCAACTTCTGCCCACTGGCTGCTGCCCCAAATCGGAGGTGAATTACCACTATGTCTCCCTACTTAACTAACTGAAAATCTGTTGCCTTGAAGCCAATACTCATGGTGACCCCAATTTGTTACAGACTAGCACTGAGATCCAGAGGAGGGTTTTCTTGGCACAATTTTCACAAAAGTAGATTGCCAGTCCATTCTTCGTTGGTACTGCTAGATGGATTTGAACTACCAACTCTTCAGAGTCCAGCACACATGGTTTGTACTACCCAGGGACCTTCTCTATTTACTTTGTTGTTGTTAAGTGTCATTTCCAACTCATAGCAACCTTGTACAGGGTTTCTGAAGAGCAACTGGTGAGTTTGAACCAAACACCTTGCAGTTCAAGCTGTGTGTGTGTATCCTACAGCATCACTCTAGGACTTCTCTCTATTTACTAAGCATACAAACATAATAAAATTAGCTGCTGGACAATGGAGTAGATTTGATTTCTGTCAGCCCAAGGATCTGTAGCGCTAGCTCACACCCACTAGCTAACAATAAGGACAGCGGGGATATGCAGGAATAAATTTCTGTAGCCACTGGAGAACCTCACCTTCTTCTCTTTTGCTAACTTACAGAATAGATCTGTCAGCCAGGGAGAACGGATATCTCAGCGCCACGTGGCACTGTAAAACTTCCTTCTCAGCAGCTGGAAGAAACAGGGGAATTTCCTCAAAGTAGCGCTGCAGCTGCAGAATTTGGAAGACTTTTTAAGTAAGTATATGTGAGCTGGTGGTGATCTCAGAGGCAACCTTTTGGATAGAACTTCATATATTTAGTGAATTTGAAACTAAAACTTATCGTCTGCTACAGTCTGCTGGGAAATAAGTATCCTTTATGATTGGCTAATGGAATAAATTCATAATCAAAGCCCAGTAAGCTTGCAAGAACCTCCTCGGAGCTACCACGTAACTTAATTTATAAATCGTATCAAATTATCTCCAACAGTCTATTATTCCTTATGTCAATATACAAAAACAAAACTTTACACACACACACACACACACACACACACGATCTTTGAGGTACAAAGTGTCCATATACCACAAATTAGGCAACTTCAGCTTTCAAGTCTAATGTACAATGCATTACTTTTCCCTTTGGAGATGGCAAATATGCTTTCAAAGGGTCTCTGAATTGTTATTGATTATCTTCCTAGAACCATAAACTGATAGTTACAAAAGAATAAATACTAAAGGATTCCTAAGGATAGGATAAACACTGCTTACCAATCCCACACAATTTTGAAAAAATTAGAAACTTATGAAAATTTTTCCTATAATCCTTTTCTTCATGTGCCATTCCTTTTTCAAGTTTTTGGCTTATCTTTCTAACGCAGAACTTATAGTACTAGGAACATGCTAAGAAAGTTAGTCAAATCATATTTTTAAAATAAGTCAGTATCTTATTAATCATTCAAAATAGTAATGATAAATTATTTAAGTCATTTTGTCTGTATATGGGAAAATGAGTACTGATGTCTTCATTTTTGTTAAATTTTAAGACCTTGCTCCTGTAGTACATCTAGGCCTTCAACACTTTTCTTTAATAGTGAACTATGACCTGCTCGTGAAACTTAAGCATGTTTGGAAAACAGACATGGAAAAGAGGGCTTCAATATCATCCACCCCAACTGCTTACAGGAAAACTATGACACAGGGTGTGAATCACACCCATGACAACTGAGCACTAGAAATGGTTATCTGTGTTTTCATTCCTTTTATCATAATTTTAACTTAACAAAATATTTCTTCAGATGGCTCTATTTGTGCACTTAACCGATGGTGTGTCTGCTTAAAGGAATCAGAGGGCTGGATGGTAAAGCCATAACTTCACAGTAAGATTTAATTATGAGTGCAGATATGAACAAGATTTAGACAATTAAGCTGTGCACTTCAAAAAAAAAGAAACCCTTTAGAATATTTTGCCTTTAAATCTTTTATCACCTGCAAAAATTAATTAAGTGCAGATGTAGCAGGTTCGGTTTGGATGCCAGGGTTCATTTCCTGTCTATGCTTTGTCAGACAACCTATTACACCTCCTCGTGAACTGGAGGCAAACCGAAAACCAGGCTCATAAATCACCATTCAGCTCTCCTTCGCCCTTTCCTGGGTTGGTCCATTTTGTGTGGGGCAGGCCTCCAGCTCATTATTCATGAATATACTATAGACAACATGCCAAGTGTCATCTGCATTTAAACAAACCATTTGTTAAACAAATTATAACTCTATTTTGTAAGAGTGCATCATGTCAAAATGCAAGACTAATCTAAAGCTGCTGAATTTTAATCGCCTGGGGTTCCTGCAGGGAGTCATCTCAAACTGGCATCCAGGATCTGAGATCTTTTCAGAAAAAAAATGACATGCCGACTTGTTTTAATAACATCACTGTTGCACAACAAGCAACATGATTGCTAACCAGGGGAAGTGGTCAATTTGGTAACCAAAGCAACAGCATTCTTTCCAGCACATCTGACAATTTAAAGTCCATATTCTGTAGGGAAAAGTAAATTCAGGTTCTGTTGGGTTATTTTAACTGTGGAAGTATCAATTCATTTAAGGATCATAAAAGTTGCCCTGATCTGCGCCTTCTTCTCATTAAGTTGCAGTTAACACCATGAAAGTGAAACGTGAATGTTTATGGTTTCAGAACTGCAATCCTGATTTTAATGAGTTTCCACATTCAAAGGAAACGCACCCTTCAGTTGTTTGCATGTGCTAAAAGCAAGACAGCCTGACAGAAATACAGATTTACTCCTTTTATCTAGAGTCACTGAAAATGCAGCTCTGGCCAGGAATACATACCAGATCTACAATCAATATCTTGCTTATATTTAGTTGGTCTCTCAAGTATTTGGCGGTAATTGCAACTGAATTAAAAAAGCAGAACCCCCTGCGAAATAGAGAAGAACAGAGAAATAAGAAAGCAAATCAGCCAGGAAAACCATTATAAATAATGTTCAGAGCATTTTTTTTAAATGCTATATGATCTCTGAAGCCATAAATCTGCTTCTGGGAGTACCTCGCAAGACTTTTCAGTCCATCTGCAAACAATTAGAGGCTTCAGAGACATGCACAGGGCAGGTGACCGCCAGGAACCATGGCGCTTGGAGATGGGCAACAGTCCCTGGTACTTACATGGCTGTGGATTCTTCAGCGTGATGGCCTGGGGGCCTCACAACAGCAAATCCATTCTGTAAAAACAAGATAGGTTTCAATGATCAGATATGGAGGGAGTGCTTGGATCTTCTTGTACTACAGAACAGCAGGTATACACAAAATAGACTGAAGCCCATTAGAGGCTGCTGAGCTTGTTTTCCTGCCATCATTAGCATTTCATAGAATGAACAGAAACAATATATATGGTGATATTTTCTCAGATCCTATCTCAAAAAGAAGGCTCCCACAGAGCCAAGGAAAGAACAGGGATTGGGGAGTTGTACCTAGCTGGCAAACATGCAGGTCAGCTGTTGCACTAGCACGATTCATTTTCAAGAATAACCTTTTACTTTTATGACATCAACATCCTACAGAGGGAGAAGAAATTCACTCTTGGTGCAGGTTTGGGTCAAAGTTCAGAGAGACCAGAGAAGATCCACAGTGAAAATTCTTTAGCTGGATCCCCTCATTGGTTATTTCCATTCCAATGTCAGCAAAATGATAAATTTCTACTCACACACTCACATACACAAAAAAGAAACCCCAGAAAGGTGAAAAAGAGAACAATGGAAAGCCCATATTTTTTCCAGTCTATAAATTTAGCTTGGACGACTGCCAAGATTTGCAAGTTTATTGGATTTTCTAAGTCCGTTTCTAGCGCATGTTCTGGAATTGTATAAAGAATTCCAGGGCTGAGTAGCAATCAGATCTTCCATGATCAAGGAATGTCTTAACCTCCAGATTAGTTGGAATGCATCACAAAAAGCTGAAGTAACTCCAGCATGAAGACAGGGAACTATAAATCCTCCCAAAGACATTACACTCAGAAAAGTAGGATGGCCTGACATAACATTCATCATTTATCACATGGTTTACACCACCTTTCACTTAACTCTGATTTGAGTAACGTGTTCAAAGGAGAATGCATGGTTAGTATACAATGTTCAAACCTATAAAATAATTCTAGTATGCTCAAAGGATCTTTTTGCAAATACTTCACTAGAAATATAGAGATATCAATAAAATAATCTATTCCCTAAGTGTTTTATACACATACACATTTCTCTAGTACATTATTGTAATTATCATATAATGAGCTAATTTGTTGTATATTTTGATAGGCATATGCTTAGAGATAATCTCAGAAGCTAAGTAGAAGTCAAATAATGCAATATCAATTACAAATATACACATAATGATAAATATATTCTTTTGGTTATATTCATAAGATACTATTTCTGGACATAAAATATTCATGTGAAAGACACTATTAATCAACAACACAAGACAATAGAGACTGAAAGACTAGGATTGTGCAGTACGACTACAAATGCTGCAAAACTTCTGAGACTGGAGAGATCAGTAAAGGTTATTCTAGTCACAAAATATTTCCTTGGAAAAATTATAGTTGAAGTGAAAATAACAACAAATACACCAACAGGCAAAACAATTAACATATAAGGAACAAGATTATTAGAATAAAAATACTAAACAACTTTCACATTAAATAAAAGAAAGCATTTTTATGAGTAAAATCATTACTAAGCAATACAAAGAAAAAAAACCCAGGGATTAACAAGTATCAAAAAATAATTCAACTCAATTAATAATCAACTAAGTACAGATTAAAGCTCCAATGAAAAATTGAAATAGAAAATACCAATAACTTATGTTGATAATTAAGTAATATCTTACATATTGCAAAATGCTGCTTATAGAGGGTAATTTATTATAGCCTTTCTATATATCCAGAGCCTTAACATTCATATCCTTTGAATTCATAATTCAACTTAACAGATTTTTGCTCCTAATTATTACTTACTGTATAGATAAGAGCTTTTGCAAAGGCTAATTATGCTTTATTTATATTAGGGGGGAAAAACCATCTAAATTAACTAGTTTAAGGAGAATGGATAAATAAATTTGATATATCTATACCATAGAAGGAGTCCTGGTGTGGCGCTGTGGGTTAATGCATCAGATTGCAGTCTCTTAAGCTGCAAGGTCGGTGGTTCAAACTCACCAGCGGCTCCTAGGAAACCCTATACAGGGTCGCTGTGGGTCGGAACCGACTCGACGGTACTTAACAACAACAACAATACCATAGAAAGGAGCTCTGGTAGCATAGTGGTTAGGAATTGGGCTGGTAACCTCAAGGTCAGTTGTTCAAAACCACCAGCTGTTCCGTGGGAGAAAGATGAGGCTTTCTGTTCCCGTAAAGATTGACAGCTTCAGATACCCTGTGCAGGGTCACTGTGAGTCAGAACCAACTCCAAGTCATACCACTACCACCATACTATACAATATTATTCAGTCATTTAAATTCTGCTGACTCATAGCAACCCTGTGTAAGGTTTCTGAGGAGCAACTGGTGAGTTTGAACTGCCGATCATGTGGATCACAGTCCAGTGTTAATCCTACAGTGTCACATGAATATTCAGTGTGGTAGAAAAATAATTACAATCTTAATATATGAAGTATTAGTGCTAAAAGTAATATATTAATAATGTTGTTAAGTGCCAGGGAGTTGGTTCCAGCTCATAGCAACCCTACATAGGGTTTCCAAGGCTATGAATCTATTTGGGAGCAGAAAGCCTCATCTTTCTCCCATGGAGCAGCTGGTGGGCATGAACCGCCAACCCTGTGGTTAGCAGTCCAGTGAGTGTCCTACAGAGCAACTGCACACCCCAAAGTATATACAGCATGATATATCTCTGTTATGGAATTATGGGCTGGTTTATTTTAATTACATAATTTCCTATATTTTCCAAATGGTTTTATAACAACCATTAGTTATTTTCCAATGAGAAAACTGTTATGAAAGAAAGAGGAAGTTGAGGAGTAGATGTAAACAGGGTTTGATATAAGGAGTTGTATTTATATAGTTAGAAGTAAGATGAGAATGCATGTAAAATGGCTTAGAAAAAGGAATTTTAAGATGGATTATGTACAGAAGACAATCTGTCTTGAGTTCATTTTTAGGAACAAAACAGAAATGATAACATATAGAAAGAAGCTAACTTATACAGGATAACATATAGAAAGAAGCTAACTTATACAGGATAACATATAGAAAGAAGCTAATTTATACAGGATAACATATAGAAAGAAGCTAACTTATACAGGACTATGAAAGCAAAATAGTATTTGAATTCTATCTTTTTTTTTAAGCCAAAATCCTTGATCAAAGGACCCTTTCACTTTATAATCCGTAATAACCATTTATCCCCACCTTTCAGCTAAACTCTGAATTTGCATGATCTAATGTTAAAATTATCTTCTTAACAATATCAACATTCTTTTTTTCCAGTCATCACAATCCACTCAAACCTCCCACTGTGCAGTAAGGAACCACAAATTCTCCTGCACTTTCCACTTTTCTGAGTGCCACCTTTCCTTAAACAAAACCTGGCAAGTGGTCTTTTCTCACATTCCACTCAAGTGGTAACTGTTGCCTCACTCACACCTCACATCTGCCAGTAACCAAAGCAAGGAGTTGGTATTCTCCTTGTTTCTCACTGCTTCTTTGAGAGTACAAATCCCTCTATGTACCCCCCATCCCCACAACACACTTTTAAAAAAAGATTAGATCACCCAAAGAAAGATGATAGGACAAAATAAAATGACTGGACCTACTCCTTAGGAAGTTAGTTCAGCTCCCTATTCAACCTGTTTCAGTAAAGGAGGTGTTAACCCAACAACCCACAACTGTCGAATCAATTCTGACTTATAATAAGCCTCTATAGGGTTTTCAAGGCTGCAAATCTTTATCCCAGAGTCCCTGGTGGGTTTGCACTGCTGACTTGAGGTTAACAATACATTTCTTACCCTACAGCATTACCAGAATGTCAGTCCTCCTAAAATTGATCCATCACCTACAGGTTCGGTTATCATCTCCTCCTGCTTTTCCACTATCACTTACCTGTTCTCACTAACATATTAAAATAGTAACATATTAAATGTTCCCTCCCAATTGCATTCATTTCATTGAGATTAAATAGGCTCAAGTCTTATAGGGAGATAGATTATATCTCAACATAACAAGAACAAAAATCTTCACAATTACACAAAAGCATCATAAGAAATAGAAAAAACCTTGATGTTGTCAAGGATTTAATTTTACTGGTATCAGCATTCCATAACTACGGAAGCAACAGTCAAGAAATCAAATGATGTATTGCATTGGACAAAATACTTCAAAATCTTAAAAATCAAAGATGTCGCTTTGATGACTAAGGTGCACTTGATCGAAGCCATGGCATTTTCAACGACCTTAAATGCATGTGAAAGCTGGAGAATGAAAAAGAAAGACAGATGCATTGATGCATTAGAATTATGGTGCTGGTGAAGAATATTGACTGTACAAGAAACCCAGAAGACCCAACAAACCTGTCTTGGATAAATTTCAGTCAGAATACTCCTTGGACGCAATGATGATGAAACTTCATCTTGCATACTTTGAGACATTATTGTTGTCAGGGGTCCTCAACTCAGTTCTGACTCTATGCAAACAAAACAAAATACCACCCCTCCCGTGCCATCCTCACAATTGTTATGCGTGAGCCCATTGTTGCTGCCACTGTGGCAATCCATACCATTGCAGGTCTTCCTCTTTTGTTGTCCACTTTACCACCCATGATGTCTTTCACCATGGACTGGTCCCTCCTGACAACAAAGAATGAGAGATGAAGCCTTGCCATCCTGACTTCTAAGAAGCATGCTGGCTGTACTTTTTGCAAGACAGATTTGTTTGTTCTTCTGACAGCCCATGGTACTTTCAAATATTCTTCAACAGCACTAGAATTTAAATGCATCAATTATTCTATTGTCTTCCTTATTCATTGTTTAACTTTCACATGCATGTGAGACAATTGAAAATGCCATGACTTGGGTCAGGTGTACTATAGTCCTCAAAGTGACATCATTGCTCTTTAACATTTTAAAGAGGTCTTTTACAGCAGATTTGCCTAATGTAATACATCACTTAATTTCTTGACTGCTGCTTTCATGAGTGTTGGCTGTAAATTCAAGCAAA